CCTCCCCAAACCCGAGCCTCTGCAGGGCGCCTTCTCTCGCTCCTCCGACTGAGAGCGCCGCTGCACCCGCGGCCGGCGATGCGGGGCCCCGGCGGCCTGTGCGCCCTGGTGCTGGCGCTGCTGGGCTCGCTGCCCGCGGGCACCGGGGCGCAGCCCTACCACGGCGAGAAGGGCATCTCGGTGCCGGACCACGGCTTCTGCCAGCCCATCTCCATCCCGCTGTGCACGGACATCGCCTACAACCAGACCATCCTGCCCAACCTGCTAGGCCACACGAACCAGGAGGACGCGGGCCTCGAGGTGCACCAGTTCTACCCTCTGGTGAAGGTGCAGTGCTCGCCCGAGCTGCGCTTCTTCCTGTGCTCCATGTACGCGCCCGTGTGCACCGTGCTGGACCAGGCCATCCCGCCGTGCCGCTCCCTGTGCGAGCGGGCCCGCCAGGGCTGCGAGGCGCTCATGAACAAGTTCGGCTTCCAGTGGCCGGAGCGGCTGCGCTGCGAGAACTTCCCGGTGCACGGCGCCGGCGAGATCTGCGTGGGCCAGAACACGTCCGACGGCTCCGGGGGCCCGGGCGGCGGCCCCACCGCCTACCCCACCGCGCCCTACCTGCCCGACCTGCCCTTCACCGCGCTGCCGCCCGGGGCCGCGGACGGCAGGGGCCGCTCAGCCTTCCCCTTCACGTGCCCGCGCCAGCTCAAGGTGCCCCCCTACCTGGGCTACCGCTTCCTGGGCGAGCGCGACTGCGGCGCCCCGTGCGAGCCGGGCCGCGCCAACGGCCTCATGTACTTCAAGGAGGAGGAGAGGCGCTTCGCCCGCCTCTGGGTGGGCGTGTGGTCCGTGCTGTGCTGCGCCTCCACGCTCTTCACCGTGCTCACGTACCTCGTGGACATGCGGCGCTTCAGCTACCCGGAGCGGCCCATCATCTTCCTGTCGGGCTGCTACTTCATGGTGGCGGTGGCGCACGTGGCGGGCTTCCTGCTGGAGGACCGCGCCGTGTGTGTGGAGCGCTTCTCGGACGACGGCTACCGCACGGTGGCGCAGGGCACCAAGAAGGAGGGCTGCACCATCCTCTTCATGGTGCTCTACTTCTTCGGCATGGCCAGCTCCATCTGGTGGGTCATCCTGTCGCTCACCTGGTTCCTGGCCGCGGGCATGAAGTGGGGCCACGAGGCCATCGAGGCCAACTCGCAGTACTTCCACCTGGCCGCGTGGGCCGTGCCCGCCGTCAAGACCATCACCATCCTGGCCATGGGCCAGGTGGACGGGGACCTGCTCAGCGGGGTGTGCTACGTGGGCCTGTCTAGCGTGGACGCGCTGCGCGGCTTCGTGCTGGCGCCGCTCTTCGTGTACCTGTTCATCGGCACGTCCTTCCTGCTGGCTGGCTTTGTGTCGCTCTTCCGCATCCGCACCATCATGAAGCACGACGGCACCAAGACCGAGAAGCTAGAGAAGCTCATGGTGCGCATTGGCGTGTTCAGCGTGCTCTACACGGTGCCGGCCACCATCGTGCTGGCCTGCTACTTCTACGAGCAGGCCTTCCGCGAGCACTGGGAGCGCACCTGGCTGCTGCAGACGTGCAAGAGCTACGCCGTGCCCTGCCCGCCCGGCCACTTCCCGCCCATGAGCCCCGACTTCACGGTCTTCATGATCAAGTACCTGATGACCATGATCGTGGGCATCACCACCGGCTTCTGGATCTGGTCCGGCAAGACCCTGCAGTCGTGGCGCCGCTTCTACCAAAGACTCAGCCACAGCAGCAAGGGGGAGACTGCAGTATGAGCCCCGGCGCGTCCCCCACCTTCCCAAACCCTTCCCTGGCAGGGGGAGGCCCAGGAGGGAAGGAACTGCTGGCTGGGGCCTTGTTTCCCAACTCTAGGCCCTCCACTGACCAGCGCGCGGGAAGGGAGCAGTTCTTTGGAAAAGACTTGGGGCAGGGAGTGGTTTGGAGAGGAGGCCCGTGTGGGAAAGGCCGGGGACTTCTGGCGGAGGCTTACGGGGAGGACTGCAGCGACGACGGGGATGAAGATAGCGTGGTGTTCATCGTGGGCGGTACTGGCCGGCTTGGCCTGCTGAGAAGATTGTGGCCAGCAGGGATCGCTGAGTCCGGCCCGGGGCTGAGCTGGGCGGTGACATCGCCCAGCTGCAGGCAAGTGGCTGCCCTTGCTGCTGTGAGCCGGAGAGAGGCAAGGCTCGGCGGGGTCTGCAGAGAGGCTTTGCTGGGAAGCGGGAGGACCCCCTGCGGCGGCCTTGTCAAGCGCTGGTCAAACCATAATCTCTTTTCACTGGGGCCAAACTGGAGCCCAGATGGGTTAATTTCCAGGGTCAGACATTACAGTCTCTCCTCCCCTACCCCCTCCCGGCTGTTTTTCCTCCCCTACTCCTTTCAAGTCTTGGAAAATAAGCATTTGGAAGTCCTGGGAGGGCTGCCCGCTAGAATCCTAATGTGAGGATGAACAGACGTGACAATAACATTTGAAGATGAGGGCAAGGAGATGAGTAGTAGGTATTTTCTGGGGAAGGCAGGAGACAGAGAAAAGAGTGTTTTATTTGGTTTAATACCCTGAAAAGAAGCGATGACTTGTTGCTTTTCAAAACAGGAATGCGTTTTCCCCCTTGTCTTTGTTGTAAGAGACAAAAGAGGAAACAAAAGTGTCTCCCTGTGGAAAGGCATAACTGTGAAGACGGCAACTTTTACAGGCAAAGCAGCACAAATCAGAGGTTTCCCTTTGGTTTTTAATTTGGTTGAAGTAAACATTGCTTTTTAAGGAAAAGTGAAGGACAGTGTGTTTCCATACCTCATTCAGCCAGAGGTTCTGACTTGGATAAAGGAAATGCAAAGGGTTTTGTTGTTGTTTTAAATACATTTAATTCGGAACATACTATCCAACATGCCCTGTTACCATGTTTAGTGAAATCTCTCCCTTATTTTTTTTCCCTTTCTGTAAGCCTACGTTTAGATTTTCCAATTTAGATTCTTCGGGATAAAAGGAAAAGCATAATGCCGTAAGCATTATGATAAAAGAAAGTTAACCATTTTGCACACTTTTTTGGGTTTCATAAATCTGTTTATAAAACATTATCCTGATCCCATCTTTGGTTGAGTGGGGAGGTGGACTGCAGAAATGATAGTGAATGAAGAGAAAAGTTTGAACCATGGGCCCTATTTTTAACGAAAGTCATTAAAAGAAGGTAAACTTCAAAGTGATTTTGGAGTTCTTTGAAATGTGCTGGAAGACTTAAATGTATTAATCTTAAATCATGTACTTTTTTTCTGTAACAACTCTAGTTCTTTTCCATAATGATGTAAAGCTGAGCAGAGGATCATGGGCACTAACCTTTACTCCACCTTTGACACTACCCTCAGTCTTGCAACACTGTCTTGTTTCTCAGTGTTTAAATGCCAATCTGAGGGTACTGTCAGGAGTACAAGTTATCTTATATATGTAGTGTTCAGTTGAGTTGAGCTGCTTTTACATTAAAGTTAATATTGATTTTGTGTTTCTTAAACCTTCAAAACTGTCTCACCTGTCAGATTTTTTTTAACTGCCACTACACAGGTTTTTGCATCTTTCGTGTTGTTATATCTTAAGTGCATGTGAAATTTGTAAAATAGAGACAAGTACAGTATGTATATTTTGTAAATCTCCCGTTTTTGTAAGAAAATATATATTGTATTTATACATTTTTACTTTGGGTTTTTGTTTTGTTTTGCTTTAAAAGTCTACAATGAAGCCCCCACTTTATCACATGTACAGATCACGAATAAATTTTTTAAAAAATACAAAGTGAATGTTCATTGAAACCGAAACAGAACCTTGCTGTGGAAAAAACTATGGAGATACACTGTTGGGCGTGTCCTCCGTAACAGGCTGGTGTATGTTACTGAGGTCTCTATCTTCCCCCTGACTTAAAATGCAGAGAGTAGTCACTGTCTTGACCATCCTTTATATTTTTTTCTGTTGTCACTGCTTCTGCACTTTCCATGCCACTGACACCCCAAGCCTCACCCCACTTTAAATAACTGCTGAGGTACAGAGCACTTTTCCTGTTAGGTGATGTCTGAGCTGTGTGTTTACTGCCTGTGGGAGCTGAAGTCTGTATTTGAAAGAGGACCAGAAGATATGCTTGGTATTTTCCTCTTTTCTGGTGACTTTACCTTGAGAAGAATTCAATGAGTTTTTTTTTTTTTAAATAAATTGAGATTTTTGTATTCATAGGCAGTTTGACTAAATTGTTAATATTTAAATGCTTTGGGTTTTGGTAGTAGGCAGTCAGTAGATGTGTCCAGATGAGGGCAGAGGCCCCATGCTGCCCTCCAGGTGGACTGTGACTCAGCAGCTGTGGCAGAAGGGACTGCAGGCCCGACCTAAGGACGGCCTTGAGCCGCCAGACTGCCGTGCTCGTGCGGGAGAGAGTACCTTCGCCATGAAGCAGAGCCAGGAAACCCTGGCTCTCCCGGCATTTTGATATCAAACAGTGCTTCAGGCAACTGGTCAAGGTATTCTTACATTCCCAGTTCTGAGCCTCACTAGGATTTTTTTTCTTTCCCCTTGCTTCTTTTTAGCTCGGGTGCCAATTTCCTGGCTTTTTATAAATCGCCCAATTCATTCTCCTGCAGCAGACTGGGTGCTGTTATTTCTCCTGTCCCGCTTGGCTGAAAGTTTCTGTAGCTCTAAAGCACAACAGACACAGTTTTGTTTTTATTTTAATTAACAGGCTCCCACGCATGGCTGGTGTGTTACAGAATGGAAGGAGTGAAAACAAGTGACAGTTCTCTGCGAGGAGGATGCCTACTCCATGCGGAGCAGTTTTCTTTACGAGCCTCCTGGGTTTTGAACATCACAATGAGTGTGAGATCATCCTGACCTGTGAAGATCTGGGCATCAAGGAATGAAACAGACTGAGTCTCTCAAGGTTTATCCAGTTTTTGCTCATAAAGTAACACCCTTTGGGTTAAAGCATGTCTCTCTCAACACCCTGCTAATACCGCCTGTTAGGAATGTTTGCTTTTAGAGTAGGCGGATGGCTCCCAGTGGGGTTTTTTTCCCCCCTGCAAATTAACTGCTGAAGGCACTTAGACCCTTCCGGGGTAGAGCTGTGTGGCTGCTCCCCAGAACATCCTGCTCCTCAGCACTGCCTGGTCTTTCCCAGCTCTCCAAGATTGAGAATGTTGGTCTTTAGTGGGGGAACAAAGCCGCCTCTGAATAGATTGCTACCTGCTTTTTTGGTAAGCAAAGATAAAAGTGTTCACTTTAATTCCTTTCACACTGAGAGGCCTTCTTATGCAATGCATTCTCACCTAAGACTCAGAAGCTGGGGATTTTTCTTCAGGAGGCATATTTTAGCAGAAAATATGTGAAGGAGAGTTTGTGAAAGGGCACGTATAGAGTTCAAGAAAAACATTGGCAGGAGTTTGGTGTTAATCCCTAGATAAGGAGCAGAAACACTTGTGAAAATCTTTTGCAGTTTATAAAACAAAACTACACAACAATTCTAAATAGGTATGTTTCTAAATAGGTATGTGAGAAAACTTGGCAAGGAAAACTATTTGTCCTGTTAACATCTTACAATTAAAAATGTTTAGTGTACTTGACATAAAATAGTGCTGTTACAAATTCTCTGGGTAGGATTATAGTAGTGTAACAGCTGTAGGTTTGAGTGCTGTGATTATACTGGGAAAATCTAATGCTCCCATCTTTAATTTCACTGAAAAGGCAGATGGCTATTTATAGATGGTATATTTTTATATATGCATATGTGAACAGTGAATAACAGTCTACAGGGCTCCAGGAAATCCTAGAAGGGACCAAAAACACTCCAATGTGGACTTAAATAAGCAATCCATAGATATGTTCTATTTTTCTCTCATTTCTCCCTCACTGCATTAAACTGGCTTTATAAAATATGGTTCTTTTTAGGGGGCGGTATGAGAAATTGAAATCAGGATCTCATGCTTGCCTGGGAAGCACTGCACCACTGAGATAAAGCCCTGGCCCTAAAATTTGGTTCTGAAGCTCTTACTTTCTAATGTAACTTTTCTTAGTTTGTTTGTTTGTTTTTTTTTTTTTTTTTTTTTTTTTTTGAAACAAGGTCTCGCTATGCAGTTCAGACTGGCCTTCAGCTCACTTTGTAGCCCCGGCTGGTCTTGAACTCTCAGTGATCCTCCTGCCTCAGCCTCCCAAGTGCTGGGATTACAGGCATGCACCACCACACCCAGCTTTTTCTTACATTTAAAGCTGTACTCCTTATACAAAAGAGAACTAGTTAAGAGGGTGCCATCAAAATGTCAGCTCTTTGGTAAACACACATTGTACCTCTTATTTTCTTTGGTTGTCTTAAGGGAAAAAAGAAGTACAGTCTTTCAGAATTTTCTCCATTAACATCACAGTGGGGGGAGGAATAAGTTCCACAATAGAAGTTTATTATAAATGTTCTGTTCAACAAGCACTAATCAAGCAGCCACCAGGCAGAAAGTAGCAGACAACAGATGATAGCACAAAAGACAGAGTCCACCAAAGTAACTCTCAATCTTCTTCAGAGTGAGGAGGCTGTCCCCAAGGAAGAATAAGCAAGTAACCATCCTGCTGGACAGAACCCAGCAAGGATCAGGGTAGAGGCACAAACGCTATTTGTAATAATATCACCTACGATTTGGTAGCATTTACTATTTTAAAAAGCTGTTTTTGATTCATTATTTGACTTTATCCTCACAATATTCCAACCCTGGAATGGAAAATAATTCTGTGAGGTGTAATCACACAGATAGAGGTGGAATGAATCTCTGGTGCTCACAAAACTGAACATACTTTCTTGATCTGCTGTCTGTCCTCTCGCCAGGCCCTGTGCAGGTGTAGTAATGGGAATGACCCATCTAGTCACAGAGGGCAAGTGTCCGGCAAGAACCCGGCTTATGAGACGCAATCTGCGTGCGCTCAGATTATTTCCTTTACCTCCATGGACCTTGCTTTCCTCACTTGTCGAAGGTGACCCGAGATGAAGGCCTTCCTCCAGCATCCCATCATTGCAAGCACAAGCACTGTACAGAGTCCTAAACTGGCCCATCTATTTGTGGATCATCCACAGCTATTTTCATATCTCTGGCTGGTTTTTCTTTTCCCTATAGGTCAGTGTGTCTTACCCCATAGCCAAGCAAGCCAGTGTGTACTCTGTGAGAAAATGAACTTTAATATTAACCAATTCAAAAAGTGAAATTTTTACTGTGATCCCTGTCTGCAGAAACCAGAATACAGTGCTACCTCAATTCACAAACTCGATCTTTTCCACAGTTCTGGTCATAAACCGAACTGGACAAGAACCAAATCAAATTTCCCCATAAAGCCAACATTGAACTTAACCACTGAATTTGATTCAGTTCTTGTCCAACTCAGTTTGCAACCAGAATCGTGGAAAAAATCAAGTTCGTGAACCAAAATACCACTGTACAATTTGGGGCTCTGGTGGCTTTGAAACTGGATACTCTGCCAGTCCTCAGTCTTCTCTATCAGCAAGGACATTCCACCGCCTGATGGTTCCACTTGCTCAAAACACAAGGGCCTCTCTTCTGTGGGTTCTCCTTGGTTTTCTCATCAAACACGTGGCCACAGGCTCAGTGATCTTTGAACTTCAGTACCAAATCTACTTTTGAAGTGGTTGAAATGATATGGCAATTTTTTGGTTCTGATCAATTAAACACAGGCAAAAGCAATGCTTTTCTAAGTCCCTAAAGCCTCTTTCAAAAGATTTCTACTAACAAAATAAAATTGTAGGTACTGTGAGGTATTCAAGTGTGCTGAATCTGGTGGGTCTATTTCATTTTGTAAGAGCCATTCAGGGACCTCCTATTCACTTCATGTCTTTTGCAAAGTTAGCAGCCTTCCTTCCTATTCTTTTCTATTCCTTGAATGCTTCTCACATGTAAAACTCTATGCTGCTCAACTCTGGCATTAGAGTCAGCCCAGAGTCCAAGAGGGGACTCAGGAGATAAGCATATAGCAAGAAAGGGCATTTAGAAGGCAGGAACAAAGGGAGGATGAGAAGATAAGGTCCCCTACAGTCCAGAAATAGAGACAAGCTATTCAAATGACCTAACTTAATACTACTCACCCTTAGAAAAGTTGGCCCCCAAGCCTGGTGTGTGAAGGCCAAGGGTTCAATTTCCACTCCCACAAAAATATATTTGATTCCTAAACCTCAACTTTAAAGATTCTAAGGACAGTTTATTTTTTTTGTTGTTGTTTTTTGTTTTTTTATTGGTACTGGAAATTGAACCCATGACCTCAGGCTTGCCAGGCAAGCGCTTATGCTGCTGAGCTATATCCCTGGCCCCTTAAAGATTCTAGAGTACTATTTAATCAAAGGGAAATGTATACTGAGGACAGTATGGAAGGACAAGGAATAGGATATATATATATGTATATATAAATCTCTAAAGGACAACAAAAAGGCATATAGCAGTTAGTTCCAGTTTCCAGGGGTAGCTGTGGTAGCTGGAAGAAGGGATGGGTGGCAGCCGGTCCCTGAATCACTATAGCAGATGTACACACCAAGAGCTGAGCTAAGTCATGGATTCTCTTCAGCTCCAACAGATGGTTTTGGGAAGATGCCCCCATGTGCTCTGTGCTGTGCTGCCCTGCATTTCACACGGTGGCTCCTGGCACTGCCAACCCAAGCCAAGACACCCCCTCAGCCTGTGACTGTGGGGTAGCTGGAAAACACCACGCTCTGCATTTACAAAGCATCTTTCTCCCCAGGGTCCTAAAGACCTAACAAATAGTTAAAGGT